ATACCTTTTCAGGTGGGCTATAGGGTCTCCATTCCCATCATACTTTTCAAATTTGAGAGTCTTGAAACCAGGTGGCAAGTGGAAATCGGGGAACATACATAGATCCTTGAAAGCAATACTCTTCTGACCTGTCAACCCTTGCATATTTTTCAACTGTTGTTCTAAGCTCTTCACTCTTTGGGTCATTTCTTCTTGTGCCATCTTTTGGGAAGGCTTTTCAATCTTTGATGGAAGATCAAATCGGTACGAGTGGTACTCAGGAGAGTGGTACTGTTCTTGCTAGGTAGCAAATTGTGACTCATGACTTTTCTTTTGTAGCGTTGTCGGCTGTGGGATGGTGAAAACAGGCATAACAGTGGTGGTTATGTAATTAGTTGTCAATGCCAAACTTTGAGAGCATGAAACAAAAGTTCCAGTTGTAGTCGTACAGTTGGGATAAGGACTGAACCCAGGTAGATAGGATTGATTAGACAATGAGACCGGAATGGCAGTAGTTGAGATGGGTGTGAACTCTGGAAAACCATGAGAAGAAAAGGGAGGTCCTTGACCATTGGCCCATGTTTGACACATTTCGGTTATTTGCTGTTTCAGTATTCTATTTACCTCAACCACAGTATACTCTTGTTGAACCCTCGGACCCTGAGTCTTTTAAGCATTTGTAACAGCTTCGATGTCAGTTGTAAATGACATTTTTCCCTTGGATCTTGTGTTGCCAGCTTACCACAAACTGACCACCTCAAACTTTCTTCACAATTCAAAACAAAAGACACGTTAGAATGGACTCAGTCGGTCTTCATTATTATCAACATTTTTTTCATTTTTCATTTTTTTGGTTGATCGAACCTGATGTGGGTTGCCTACGTATCATGTGGGAACATGAATCAGATCTTGCGTAGTTCGGAAAGATTAGGAATAAAAGAGATAAACTAAAAAAATTGGATTTTGAATTTTCTTTTTTTTTCGAAAGAAAGACTTAAAAGAAGAAACAAAATATTTTTGGATTTCGATTTGTTTATTTATTTTTTTAAAAATTTTGAAAAGAAAGACTTCTAAAGAAGAAAGAAAGTATTATTATTTTTGTACTTTTATTTTGAATTTATGAAAGAAATATTTCTAAAGAAACAAAAAAAAAATTGCATCTTGAATTTTTTTTTCAATTTTCGAAAGAAGAATAAAAATATTTTTCAGATTTTGAGAGGAGATTAAAAGAAAATATTTTTATATTTTTAGAAAAAAAATTGGGGTATATAAGAAAGACTTTCTAAATAAGGAAGTAAAAAGGATAATATTTTTGAATTTTTTATGAAAATGGTGGGCCGGAATCGATGAGGTTTGCCTACGTATCTCACATTCGGTGAGAATCAGACCCGCGCAGTTCGTCCATTTTTTACGGAATAGGGAAACATGACTTTTGAAAATTTTGGCTTTTTTCTCCTTTTTTTTGAATTTCGGGAGAGTTTCAGAAATTTCAAATACCTACCTCTCACTCTTGATTTTTCACCTTTGAATTTTTTTTCTTTGAATTTTCTTTTCTTTTCATTTTCTTTCCCTATTCTAGAAGTCAGTCAACATGAAAGACAAAACAGACAGATACAAAAGTAGCACGTAAGATGCATTAGGATGGTCTTTTAATTTGGCTACACTTGTCCTAGACGGACCCAACCCTTGTGTTGAATCCCCAAAGGCAAATGCACATGATGCAAACAAGCGTTCCTACTAGAGATCCGGCATAAGGCTATGTTATTCTAGGTTTAAAACCTGGGTGTATTTTTCTAGACCTGGCTTACCCGAGCGGACAGCTCGAGCCGGGAGTGGGGGCAGCGTATCGGGAATACAGAAGCTTCACCGGTTTTGCAACTTGTCTGAACCTCGTTCTAAAATTGGGATATGACTCTAATAGAAAGGAAGTCACCCGAAGTGCACACTTCCCAGATGATTTAGAAGACTCGGAGAGAAGAACGGTTTCATAAAAATTTATATACAATTCAAGCAAAATCAAAGTGATAAAAGCAGCATTTAGCACATTAGGCTCAAACATGTAAAAATCAGATAACAAATAAAAGCCAATCATAACAGCTATTCTAAGCTCGAATTCTGAACCCTGAACCAGAGATTCTGAGTTCTTATCCTCAGCGGAGTCGCCAGAGCTGTCACACCTCCTTTTTACCACCCGAGAGAGGATATAAGGGAGTTTTTCCAATTAAAGTGACATTATTCGAAATGCAATTATTTTATTTTATCAGAGTCGCCACTTGGAATAATATTTTGGGTATCTCAAGTCACCGGTTTATTTTAAAATCCCAAATCGAGAAAAATTTGAATTTATTTTAAAAGCCTGCGAACCAGAAATTTTAAGTAAGAAATTTTGTTAATCCGGGAAAAGGTATTAGGCATTCTCGGGTTCCGTGGTTCGAGCACGGTCGCTTAACTATTAATAATTGGCCCAATTATCTGATTTATTACATATTTTAAACCTATTGTGCATCTTTAACTTTATAACCGCTTTTAATATTTAAGAAATTATTTCTGGAACAAGTCACGATTGTCGTACACTTGTTGTTTTGGTACACATTGCAAACTGCGCCACATGAAATGCACCCGCGATTTACGACATGTTTATTTTTATTATTATTCGAAGTTGTTATGATCGGGTCACATGAAATGCACACCCGAATTGGGGATTATGTACCGTGACCATGCCACGGGAACCGTACCCATAGTCACGATGATTTTATTATAAACGTTCCTAAAGCAAACTAGGAATGTTCAAAGTGTTTTCTACACTAGTTTTGTATTTATGTGAGGTCCATGGATTATAGGATTCATTTGGGGATGACACGCCTCAATTTATTTTAAAATATTTGTATTTCACTAAAAGCAAACTAAGGATGCTCCTATTTAAATCTAATTTGAAATTATGTATCACAACTACGCCACGGGAACCATACCCGTAGTTGTAATGATTTAATTGCGTGCCTAAAGCAAACTACAATGTCTATAAATGGTGTAATTCTCAATTTGGTGATTAAATATATAAAAAAAATATCTTATCTATAACAACTTTTAGATAGAGCCTAAAGCCTTAACTCAATTCAACAAGCATTAAACTTCCACAAAATTCTCCTATTTATTTTAACCCAATTCGTCTCTGCTTTAGGCCAAAGAAATGAAAAGGCCACAATTCTAACAGCTGTCAGCAAATAATTAATAATCCCATAGAAGTGCAAGGAGAATTAATTGAATTCAACATTATAATAACCAAATAAACAAATTCTTTGTTCCAGTTTTTACATTCGCAAAGCATAGCCCAAAAATATGACAAAATTTTACAGATACTGACTTCTTAAGACAATACTCTTATTTTGGAGCTCGTATATCTCAGCGATTCAGTTGAGCCTTGACGGAAACTCGATCAGCAACTTCGCCGGAGAAAACTCGTCGAAAGACCTCGACTCAAATCATAACTATGCGATGAACTCGACTCGAAAATGGGGGCATCTTCGAGGTGCTTTTAAATGAGATTTTGGCTAGTTTGGGTGCTGCGTTTTGCAGTTGATTCGGGGTTGTTTGCGAGCTGGTTTTTCAACTGATTTTATCTATTGCTTCAACTATATTTTTTGAAGCTTAATATGGTATATCTTGGGAAGAAGAAGCAGGTGTTTTCATGGTTGTTTGGGGTGGATTTTCAGCTCATTTATGGATGTTTTGGGGGGCTGATTTTTGGAGTAATTTGGAGCCGAGATTTAGGCAACAGTGATGAGAGTGAATTAAAAATTTATGGCTGTCGTCTTTTTTTGTAGTCTATGTCTAGGTCTAGGTCTTAGAGTCTTGTTTGTTTTATAGGGTTTTTTAGGTTAGGGGGTATGAGCCTAGGAATTATGGGCTTGGGAATTGGGCCAAAGACTTAAAAAAATGGACTACAAGATTCATAAAGACGGGATAAACCCACCCAAAACTAATCCATCCTTCTAAAATTATATACAATTATAATATAAAAATATAAAACTAATCTTAATTAGTTGAACTAAACTATATTAAAACATGAAACTATTTTTGTGTTTTTAATATTATATATATAAATAAAAATAAGGTATTATTTTTGTATATTTTTTATTTAAATTTATGAAAGATACGTAAACTAAAATATTTTTGTAATTTTTATTTTTTGTGAAGAAATAAAGTAAAAGAGTCAGAATTAGTTGAAATAAAGATATTAGGCCTAAACTAAATATTTACAAGCTGAAATATAAAAAATATTGGGGAGGGTCAAAAATCACATGTCTACAGCGGGATATGAGGTGGTTCTGGGGGGTGGAGTGTGAAAGAGTTACGGGGAGATATCCTGGACTTGTGACAGTGGCGGAATGGTGACATGGTTTTCAGTGTAGTTAGTGGGGATTGATGGTGGAGGACGCCCACCAATACAGGGTTGGTATATTTCGGTCATCTGTCCTTTCAACCTTAAGACCTCTTCTTTCAACTCAAATTCTGATTCAACAATTCCCTTAGATGGATCAATAATCCCTGTGTCCAAGTCTTTGCTAGCCATGGCTACCTTGTTCTTTGTCCTTGTGTTGTATGGAAGAATTATCACTTTAAGAACCACAAACCAACCACTCGTCTGCTCAATGAAGATAACAAAAATGAACAAAATGAGATATCACATTGTGTGCAATGCCCTAAGCAACAATTAACAGTTCAAGAATGACTTCGAGGGTTACTTGGCATCATCCCAATTTGTTCATCTCAATCTTCTCTTTTCTTTTCTTTTCTAGCACTTCTTGGCTTGCTCATTTTCCTTCCTCTTTTTTCTAATTATCACTTTTTTTCTTTCCTCTCATTGCTCACATCCCATAATTTCATATCTTTTTTTTTTGTTTCCCTTTTTTCTTTTAATTTTAAAAATTTATTCGATCAAACCCTATGTAGATTGCCTACGTATCATCTCCCTCATTAATCAGACCAAGCATAGTTCTTGAAAAGTAATGGATAAATTAAACTAAAAAAAACTTTTTGGATTATTCATTTACAGCTTTTTTTGGTTTTCAAATACAAAACAGGAAATATGATAATGAGAGACTCAATTAAACTATACTATGACAAACTCCGCCACCAACTAAAAGAATCATTACTACTGGACATGACTATAAAGTACAAGACAACATAAAAAGAAACAGACTCAAAACACAAAAAATCTCCTTAAGCAACTCCTGGATGCAACGGTCCTGACCAGATGGTCCGGGGGTGTCTGTCATGCTCAAACTCCGGTAAGTAGATCCACACCTGTATAAGAAAACTAAAACCAAATAAAGTTAAGGATTTAAAACACTATGTGAGACAATAACACTCCCTACTGGACACATGCAAGAAATGATTGAGGCGATTTTTGCAAAATGGCCTACGTGGCCAAAAGTTGCTATTAGTGCAAACTCGACAAAGGTGACCTCAAAGACGTGGAAAGATCACTTTGCCGAAATGACCCATTTTGTAGAAACGACCTATGTGGCCAGAGAACGGCTAAGCATTGGAAATTCAATAGAATGGACCCTAAACAGAGATGACACCTTGTTGTGGAGTTAAGACTCTGAGACGTAGGTTAATTGAACCTTTTGGGAAAATAGCCCTATTTTGCAAAACGGCCTATGTGGCCAAAAGCGACTAGACATGCAAATTTGACAAGGGCGGACCTTAAAGTAAAGAGATACCTAATTGTGGATTGAAGACTCTCCAGACACAATTAAACAAGTCACTTTGCAAAAATAGCCTTATTTTGCAAAACGACCAATGTGGCCAAAAGTGGCTAGAGATACAAGATTTGGCTACAACCCTCGAAGACAAAAACCTATGACTCACTAAGAAGATCGGACCCTATGTGGGTTGCCTACGTATCACACCCCGAAAGACAAGAATCAGGTATGTGTAGTTCGGGCAGATTGGATACGGTCGAGAATTAAAAAAATAACTAATTCAGAGAAAATAAATTTTGTATTTTTTAAAAAAAAATAATGAGGAAGTGCAAAATCTTTTTTGAATTTTTCAACCTTTTTTTTTTTGTCTTTTTCTTAAAGAAAATGTGAAAGAAAAATATAACTGGACCCTACTTGCTTTATTTTTACACTTTACCCTCTTTTATTTCTCATTTACCATCAACCATCATTGGTTCGTCAAATGACCTTTTACCCTTGAAGAAATGCAACATGTAACACATAGGATGCATCAGGATGATCTTTTATTTTTGGGGTACACCTGTCCTAGACGGATCCAACCCTTATGTTGAGTCCCTAAGTCAAATGCATGTGATGCAAACAAACGTTCCTACTAGGGTTCCGGCATGAGGCTATGTTATTCTAGGTTTAAATCTAGGGTTGTGTTCTAGACCTGGCTTACCCGAGCAGACATCTCGAGCCAAGATGGGGGCAACGTATCGGGAGCACCAAAGTCTACCCTGCCTTGTTGTTGGCCCAGCCTCGCTCTATTTGGTATAACTTCTAACAGAAAAGCGGGCCACGCAAACGTGTGCACCATTTTTTGACTTAGATGGGAGGCGTAAGAAGATAGTTTAATAAAATTCAAATAATATCAAAGCGGTAAATAAGCAGTAGTTAGCACATTAGGTCCACAAATACGGTAATATGAACAATAAATCAAGCCAAGTAAAAATCACAACACAAGCTCGAACTCTTGAACCCTGAACCAGAGATTCTGGGTTCTTGTCCCCAGCGGAATCGCCAAAGCTATCACATCTCCTTTTTCTATCCAAAAGGGTGTATACGAGAGTTTTTTCAATTAAGGTGACAATAATCAAAACGGGATTATTTATTCAAATTCAGAGTTGCCACTTGGAATAATTTATGGTGTCCCACGTCAACGGTTTAAAATCCCGAATCGGGGAAGGTTTTGACTCTTATTTATGGTCTTCGAACGCAGAAATCTGGGTAAGGAATTCTTTTAACCTGGGAGAAGGTGTTAGGCGTTCCCGAGTTCCATAGTTTTAGCACGGTCGCCTTAATTATACCTGGCTTATTTAAATTGTCTAATTACTCATTTTAGAACCTATGTACATTTTACCTTTTACGACTTTTAATTAAGAAATTAACCTAAAATGAGTCACGCATACGTGTACCATTTGTTTGGCGCGTCAAAAATCATTTCACGCATACGTGTCCACAATTAATGACGCTTTATTATTATTAAGAAAAGTTTGGCCGAAGTTGTGCGAACGCATACCTCGGTTCGTTTTTAGAATCATAACTGTGTCACGCGAACATGTACACAATCACGATATTTAATTATTAATACACTTAAAAGTATACTAGCGGTGTTTCTTATTCTTCCTAAACTTTGAGATTATTGTGAGGGCCATAGATTATGGAAATTGTAAAACAATTATACCCTTTACCCTTAACTAGTCCATTAGATCATTAAGATATTAGAGAAGTCCTTTTATTTACTAAACTCATTAACACTGGAATTTGCAGAAATCCAGACTTATTGGAACTCCAAGTCATTGAAAAAGGCAGATTCAATCCTTACAAAGAACTCCAAAATTCTAGTCATGGAATGTTGATCAATGTAGAAACAAATCAATCACGCGCGGAGTTAGCATGAATTCATATTGTCCTTAGACTTCAATTGAACTATTGGCATGTTTTAACAGAAAAGAAGAAACCATCAAAATGTGATCCTTAATCAGCATAGTAACAAGACTAACATATTCACTTGAAAGCCAACAGCTTTTATCACCAACTCGGCTAAATCGAACGAAAGATTTGAACCTGAATTATCACTTCTTCTCAAATGCAAATCAACTACCTTTGAATTATCTATTCTGTCATTGTTCACATTCGTAGTTACAGAATCCTCTTTCAACATTAAAGAATCGTTCGAATTACTTATTATTGCACTGCGACTGCATTTTAAGCTCAAAACCAACCAAACAAACAGGGATATTCGTGAGAATCATGACAAGCACATCACTAATCCTTCATACAATAACCAAACTGAATTAAACATGTTCAAAATAGGTCTAAGCCTAAAGGTGACACCAAGAACACTCCAAGAGATCTATGCAACCACAAATTAGATTGGAATCCGATTGAGCACGTTGAAACCAAGCAAACAGGGCACTCAGTCACATTGAACTTCAATATCAAAGCAAGTAAAAAGGAAAAAAGAAAAACAGACCTGAAATTAAAGCTTCAATTAACTGAAATTTTCAGCAATTACACAAGCAACGTAAACCAACTACTAACGCTGAAATTGGAGACGGACGGAACTTGAACAAAACAACTTCAAACAACACCCCAATCAATCAACCTCGGATCTTCAACAATGACTGAAATAGATGACTGATGCCTCCGGAATTTTCGCCGGAAAAATTGAGTTCATCGACAAAGAGGGATTTGACAGTAGAAAATCGATTTTATATGGTGTTCATGGTGTTTGTGTGCGGTGTTAATGGGGGTATTGGCTGCTTTTTCGCGAACCTCAGTTTCCTGCTTCACTAGAGATGAAAGAGGGGACAATTGGAGCAGATTTTCTGGCGGTTCTGGTGGTAGACATCGGAGGGAGAGGCGGATGGTTTTTGAAGAACCAGGGGTGGTTTTTCAGCTGTCCTCTCCGTTCGTTTCTTACTGTATCATCCTCTATCTCTGTGTGTGTGGTCGTCTAGGGGTGGAAAAGAAGCAGGGTTCCTTTGGATAAGGGTTCAGATGATAAGCGGCTGAAGGGTGGTTGAACAGAGCAGGGGTCGTTGGTTTTTTCCAGGTCTTGGTAAAAACGGCTGAAGCTTCAGGTCTTAGGCATTAGGTCTTATCTATAGGTTTAGGGTTTTAGGGTTATTTTTAGTCTAGGAGAATATGGGTTTAGGAATTATGGGTGTGGGAATTATGGGCTAGATTTGAATTGGGTCAAATTTTGGCCAAATTTACTTTTAAAAATGGCCCTTTAACTCTTAGACTAAAAAATATTAATTCCTAAAATAATAACTTAAAAAATTATGAAATCATTTCTAATTAATTAAAGTAAAATTAAAAATTAAAAGTGAAACTATTTTATATCAATTAGCTAAATAAAAGAAAATATTTTTGTAATTTCATTTTGTGACATAACGTAAAAGAGTCAAAACTAATTGAAATAGCGATATTAGGCCTAAACTAAATATTTATATGCTAAAATATGTAAAATCTTGGGGATGGTCAAAATCACATGTCTACAATTATCATAAAACTATGTCACTACCGATCGACAACAAGGATATATATATATATATATATATATAGAGAGAGAGAGAGAGAGAAAGCTAAAGTTAATCAAAACAAGTATATTGGTAATTGATGGGCTTTCAATGTCTTTGCCTTATGTTTTGATGATCTAAAAAACTTACTGTCAAGGCCCAGATAAGGAACCTGACACACTTGGGCTACATTGAAAGTTAACGGATCCCAGCTAAAAGTGAACTGCTATAGCTTCAGGAGATAGAGAACCAAACAAGGACCTGGTGCCCTTGCAGTTCCCTTATAGCAGTACGTGGTCAATTGGACACAGCTGGAAGCGACATGACTGCCTACATTGTTTCTGCCTGCACTGCACCGCTTCCAGCGGTCATTTGTCTTTGACCAACTAAAGTGCCTACAGCATTCAAGTGATGTCATCAAAGTGTATCAACAAGGAGTTTATATCAAAAACATCACTTGAATACTTGAGATTTCATTCAAGCTTTTTGCAAAACAATGAACCTAATTCTCAAGACTTAAAGAACAAAGTTAAACGCTACTACGGACCAGTTCCTAAATTTAGTATTTTGTTGTCCTTAGTTGAGTTGTAACTTTGTGATTGTTCTTATTGTATCTCCTAAATTGATTAGCTAGAAGCGTTAATTAGGAACCCTCTTGTAAAATCCATAAACTCACTAAGCTTGTGTTGTGACTAGAGTTAGTCATAAGTTAAAATCTTTGTAACTAGAGAGTGACAAAGTGGCTTGTGGTAAGAGTATCACATGTTAGTTGAGTTAAAGTCTTTGTAATGGAGTCATTACAAAGTGGCTTGTGGCAAGAGTATCACAAGTTAGTTGAGTTAAAGTCTTTGTAATGGAGTCATTACAAAGTGGCTTGTAATAGGTGTTTACAAGTTAGTGAAGTTGAAAGTGTACAAGTGTAGGTCGTGGTTTTTGTGCCCTTGAGTTGGGATTTTTCCACGTAAAAATCCCGTGTCTTATTTACTTACTATTTCATTAGCATTCTTAGTAAAAACTCAAAGAGGACCAGGTACTCTACTGTTTGGTGGACTCATATAAACTAACAATTGGTATCAAAGTTGTCTGAAAGCTATTGATGATAATGATGAACTCTAGCATAGAAGATTGGAGCACGCAAGCTTCTCTCTTCTGAACAAACTAATTCAGAAGGACCTGGTCCATGGTCTGCCCATGTCAAAGTTCAAGGTACAGAAAGTTTGTGATGCCTGTACTAGAAGAAAACATGTGAAGTCCTCTTTTAAGTCTAAAAGGGATGTGAGCACCTCAAAGACACTTGAGCTTTTGCATATGGACCTATGTGGCCCTATGAGAGTGCAAAGCAGGGAAGGAAAAAGATACATTTTTGTGATAGTTGATGACTACTCCAAATTCACATGGACTCTGTTTCTTAGGACTAAAGATGAAACCTTTGAGGTGTTTGTGCCCTTTGTAAAGAAAATCCAGGTGAAGATGGAATCTACAGTCGCATGCATTAGATCAGATCATGAAACAGAATTTGACAATGCCAAATTTGATGAGTTCTACAATGAAAATGGCATCACTCATAACTTTTTATCTCCCAAAATCCCCCAGCAAAATAGAGTAGTGGAAAGGAAGAACAGAACTCTTGAAGAAATGGCAAGAACAATGCTAATCGACTGTGTAATTGCAAAGAACTTCTGGGCTGAAGCGGTCAACACTGCTTGCTACTTGGTGAACAGGTACATGATCAGATCATTCTTGAACAAAATCCCATATGAGTTGTTGAATGGAATGAAACCCAAGCTGACTCACCTAAGAATATTTGGGTGCAAATGCTATGTTCTCAATAATGGAAAGGATCAGCTTGGTAAATTTGATGCCAAGAGTGATGAAGGAATATTTCTGGGCTACTCTTCTTAAAGCAAAGCATACAAGATATACAACAAGCAGACTCAATATGTTGAGGAGAACCCTTACTAGTCCCTGATGAAGTCATTGACATGACAAATGGAAAGGCAAATATGATAAGCCAAGTAAAAGAGCCGAATGAGGACAATATTGCCTCTTCTTCAATGGAACCAGGTACTTCAATTACAACCACTAAAGCTGAAGAAAGACTGGTTGATGCAGTTCAGGGTACTCCACTAGTACCTGAGAGAAGAACACAAGAAAACCAGTTAAATGTACCCACATCCTCTACAAATGAACCTCAGATGTCTAATTGGAAACACAAAAGCTCTTATCCTCTTGACAATATAATTACCCCTCTAGATTCCGGAGTACAAACTAGGTCAAAAGCTAAAAATTCACTTGCTTTCTCAGCCTTTCTCTCCCAAATAGAATCCAAGAATATCAAGGAAATCCTGAAAGATGCAGATTGGATAACAACCATGCAAGATGAGTTACATCAGTTTGAAAGGAACAATGTCTGGCACCTGGTATCTACATCCTCAGATCGAACCACTATAGGAACCAGGTGGGTATTCAGGAACAAGCTTGATGAACATGGAAACACCACAAGGAACAAGGCCAGGCTAGTGGTTTAAGGCTATAATCAGGAGGAAGGGATTGATTATGATGAAACATTTGCTCCGGTCGCTCGCATGGAAGCTATTAGAATTCTAATCACTTTTGCATCTCATATGGAATTCACCTTGTTCCAAATGGATGTCGAAAGTACATTTCTGAATGAACTTCTTAAGGAAGAAGTGTATGTGAAGCAACCTCCAGGGTTTGAATGTCATGAACACTCATTATGTGTTTAAACTGGACAAAGCATTGTATGGGTTGAAGCAGGCCTCAAGCTTGGTATGAAAGGCTGTCGAAGTTCCTCTTAGAAAATAATTTTAAAAGAGGGAAAATTGACAACACCTTGTTCCTAAAGAAACGGGAAAGGAACCTGCTCATTGTTCAGGTCTATGTTGATAATATCATTTTCGGGGCAACAGCTGGTTCTCTGTGTGAAGAATTTGCAAAACTCATGGGAAGTGAGTTTGAAATGAGCATGATGGGGGAACTGAACTTCTTCTTGGGCCTTCAAGTAAAACAATCCTCAAAGGGTACATTTATTTGTCAGCAAAAATACATCAGGAAGCTCTTGAAGAGGTTTTATATGGAAGCATCAAAGGTGATAGACACTCCTATTGCTATGGCCACTCGACTGGACATGGATGAAACTGGATCCCCTATGAATCAAACCATGTATAGAGGCATTATTGGGTTTCTTCTCTATCTCACTGCCAGTAGACCTGATATTGTCTTCAACGTGGGGCTATGTAAAAGGTTTCAATTAAATCCCAAGGAATCTCATTTGAAGGTTGCCAAAAGAATTCTGAGATACCTTAAAGGAACACAGGACCTGGTCCTTTATTATCCCTCATGTGACAGTTTTAATCTCATTGGATATGCTGATACAGACTATGCAGGTTATCTTGTGGATATCAAAAACACTTCTGGAATGTCTCACTTCCTAGGTTCATGTCTCATCTCTTGAGGCACAAGGAAGAAAAACCCAGTGGTTCTTTCAACAACTGAGGCGGAATATGTAGTTGCAGCATCTTGATGTGCTTAACTTCTATGGATTAAGCATCAATTGGAGAATTTTGGGGTAATTACTGAGAGTATACCCCTTCTATGTGATAACACCAGTGCACTCAACATGGCCAAGAATCCAATTCAACACAAAAAAACCAAGCATATTGATGTAAGGAATCACTTTCCAAGGTACAATGTGGAGAAAGGGTTGATCTGTATGAAGTTCTGCAGCACAAAAGACCAAATTGCAGATATCTTCACTAAAGCATTAAGTAGGGAACATTTCGAAAGAAACAGGGTGAAGCTGGGGCTTTTAAAGCCTAGTTGAGAATTTGATTCCTCATCATTTGGCTATGAAAATCACTTTCAGGTAAAACTAGCTAAAGTGTTTTCTGGCCAAGTCTAACTCACTTCAATACCATTGCAGTTAAACACGCATGATGAGCATAGAAGCTGTAGATGTAGTGCATGGATGATAAAAGAGGATTTATACTTTCAAATAACAGGTCAAGAACCTGGTTCTTGTACCAAAGGTTAGTAGTTATGTGTATTCTTTAATACACATCATAAAAATGTACAAAACTTAACTCCCATGTCATCCGCCTTTTCAGACCCTGCTGTCACGTCTCTTCACTTCAAATCATTCCATCTCCCTTTGAAACGTTGCACTTCTCCACGCGCAACCGCCGTTTCAAAACCAGTCCCTATCTCTCTCTTCATAATTATTCATTCTTAATAAAACCCTCCTCCTTTTCTCCACAAACTATAAGTCCTCCATTAGAACTTCCTAAAGTACCTTCAATCCATCTTTTCAATGGCTGATACAAACTCTAACATCCCTGCCTCAGTCATCCCTAGTACTGAAAAACATATAGAGTCCTCCGTCCCCTCTGAGTTTTATAACCACTCTTACTCTCCCCGCTAAAATCACACATCACCCAGATTCCCCGTCTCTCTCCATTTCAGAAACCCCTAAAATTGTTGATCCCTCCTCTCTATCTTCTGAGGTTCCCACTAATCAAAGATCAAGTGGAGAACAAGGTC